CTGGAAGCATCATCCACATGTATGCAACTGTAGAAATACAATCCATCTCAGCTTCGGCACCTGATTCTCTTGTTGTTTACATGATTATGCTTCAGTTTAGCTCACTATTTCTAACAATGCAACTTTGTTGATAAATCTAATGACTTTCTATAACCTTGATATGTAAATATTCCAATGTGTTGCTTCTCATTACCATTTGGATGTCCAGATAATGAGAATGACAGGGCTTAAAGTATCAAAGAGAAAAGCTACAGTGTCCTGTAAACTAAAATGAGTTTGACAGCCCTGCTCTGATGACTGGGCACACATACACAAAGAGAAATGTATGTTTGGCTATCTTTTTAATATTAATGCACTTTCAAGCCTCTTACCCCAAGTTAAAAAAAATTATAACTATGTCCCATCATACCCCAAATCTACTTTAACCTTTAAACCAAAAACTTTAAACAAAAACCACAAAAGTCTTTGAATGAATTTGTGTTTAGAATTTTTCAGGAAAGGATGTGAAATGACACAAAATTTTGTCTACATCAAACATGAGATATAATATAGCACATTAATTCTCAATTATATAAGAACCTTAATGAATACATATAAAATTAGTCAAAAAAAAAAAAAGCGAGTCAGAAAAGAAAAAGTAGAAAAAACCTTACCTAGATGGAGGACTGAGCATGAACAAACTGTGTGCAGTATAAAATTGCTACTGTGATCAGATGAACTTCAGAAAACCTGCAAAGAACTGTGTTTTTAAAACTGATATGAACTATTACCAAAATAATTCTGCCTACATTTTAATATTTATATCTTTGTCTCTTTAAAAAAAAATCCATTCTGCCTGAAGGTAAATCTGTCTTATCATAATTTTCACAGCAATTCTGACATCACTACAAAAAGAATTCCAAAAAATCAACAGAAGTGCAAATTTGTATCTTTCACATCAGTGGAAATGTGTTATTTGATTGAAATTTGGTGGATCAGGTTTCAGTACTTGAGCACTGGCAAAACCACCTCTCAGTTTATCCTTCAGGACAAAGACCGAGAGAAATAGTTGTAGCTTTCCATAAGCAGTTATAGGCAACCTGTCTGAAAGTGATCAACAGAGATGGGCAGTAACGCGTTTCTTGTAACACGTTACTGTAATCACATTACTTTTTTCAAGTAACGAGTAAAGTAAGGGATTACTAATGCAAAAACGGTAATTAGATTACCGTTACTTTC